ATATTAATCTATGTCATAATGTACTATATTATACGAATTATGTTCATTATTATCCCATACTATACTATAATAACACTATTCAATGCTATACAATACTATAAAATGTGATATTGTGCTAATACTATACAATGCTATACTGTATTATAATAGAATATACTTTGATATATTAATACTTCCACTTACCCCTATTACAACCACTACTGAAACTACAACATCGACAACAAAAATAATGAATGATACAACTAATAACATTACTAATAGTGCTGCTACTTATATTAGCACGATTACGTAACGCTGCTCGTAGCGCATAATTTTACTAATGCCCGTTCTACCACTTCTTCCATTTCCCGCATTCCTGTTAACTACACAGTCTGGACCAGCAGGTCGCATATTCTTTCGACCAAGTGGCCACTTTCAAGTAAGTTACGATTTGGTTTGACCTTTATTTATAAACTGTTTCGCGGCTTCAGAGACACCTTGAAGGACCAGCCACCATTTATACTTTGCGTCTCTGTTGGCACAGCTTGCAGTATCCCAAGAAGAGAGGACATAAGCAAATAGCTGAGACCACAACCCTCGAGCGAATCCCTGAGGAAGCCGGAGTTGTCGTCCCTTTGGCCCACCTGATGATCACAGTATGGGGTCAATGCAAATTGACACTTTATATCCTCGATGAGAGTGGATTTCAAGGTAACGTATACTTCTGCTGAGAGTTCGAGACGACAGTCGAGTCTCGAAAAAAACAGCTCTACGAGATTAAGGCTAAGAGGGCTTCAGTGGCATCATGAGGCCAACTAGTCTCATTGCGGAGATGAAACTCGACAATCCGTCTTCGGGTTGCCTCAGGCAACCTACACTGACTAAGTTCCGTATCAGGTCACAGAATTTGTCTGAATGCTCACGAAAACCCGAGGAAAGACCGACTTTGGCCACGAGGGATCTTCTGTTCATCCATGAGCCCCAGCGGGACTCGAAGCCAGAGGTTTGCGTTGCAGGGTTGGACATATTGTCGCCGGATCAGATGCGATGCTCGGCTCCATCAGACGCATGAGATTGACCGAGCCTGCCGTACAGATCAAACCTATTTGGGCTCAAGTATGCTGGGTCAGAGTCCTGCCAGGGCCAGGGTCGACGCTGAGATTTGGGTCCTTCTTCGCTTGATTACAAGCAGAAACAGAGGCTCGAAAACACATGACTTTTGGGCATCAGAAACTGGACAACTCGCAAAGATGTACATTTGCTCGAGCAGTTGAGCCTGCGGCCGAAAGACACTCCTGCTTCATACCAGCTCAAGTGTGCTCATTTCGAGGAGAGTCCATTTGAACGGCACACCCAACGACTTGCAATTCGCTACAACCGGTTGGCGATTGGGCTGTCTTTTGACGAGCTCTTCATCATCGGAAATTCAGAATGTGCGACAGAGAGGAATGCTCGTGGCAAGCAGAGATACAGAGCAGATAGGAAGAGTAACTAGGTTTAGACGAATCTCTTGACATGACATTGTTGCAAGGACCTCCATTTCGTATGAAAGTGCACGAAGAACAGATTCCAAGATCGAGCTCCCTAGAAGAGGCTGCAGTGCAACAGCAATCTGACGTCCTCTTCTGGTGGAGATTTAACTTAGAAATTCATCTTTATGCACTTTTACATGGAATGCAACTCTCTCCAAGCAGAAGTACAGTTTTGGCTCGTACAGACAGAGCTGAGCTCGTCAAAGAGGCCGACGGCCTGCACGACGGACCCTTCACAGATCATCGATGATGATCCGTCGATATAGCCTCGGAATGACTCACCTCAAGGTCGGATCCGTTCGACTCCAGCCTCCACATGCCGTCCTTGATCCAACATGTGGTAGGCTTCGGATCGCCAGTCATGCGACAGTACAGCTCGAGTCTATCGCCCTCGTTTAGGCTCCTCGCCTCGGGCAGGCCTACTCCGATCAGCCGAGGCGGTGAATTGGCCTCTTTGGCGTCGGAGGCTGCACCGTGAATTGGCGGCAAACGTAGGAGAAAAGGCAAAAGAAGACGGCAAAAAATGAAGAGGAGTAAAAAGAGAAGAAAGAGAAAGAGGAGGAGAAGGAAGAGGAAGATGATGTTGATTAGGAAGAGGAGGAGGAGTATAAAAAGAAGTGGAAAT